AGAGCAGAGCTAGCTCAGTACTACTTGGTGAAGCTCCAATATTTGTACACAAGAAGACTGAGATTTCTGACACATTGTACTTTTTAGGATTACCCAAACCTGAGATTACATTCTGAGGTAATGTTAAATTGCAGATCTATGATGAAATCCTGAGGAAATTATTTTTAAAAAATAAAATTCAAAAACTGGAAATGACTTTTAGCCCTAATAAACTGGGTATTTTTCTGTTGCTTCTGTTTGGCTTCTAATGAACTAGCATGGCCCATGAAGTCAAATTTTTACACTGTGAACAAAACACTATGCAATTACATTCTTTTCCATGTTGTAACAAAACTCTCTCCAGTAATTACCAGCATGTGCACTCGTTTACCTACAGCATATGCTACATTGGAATTGAAAAGTGATTAGTGAAAACCACTTGATGATAATGTTAGACACGGAGAAAGCTGTTTTAACATTTTCATAACTCAGCCTTAATCTAGGCTCGTTCTATAATTTTGGTCACGTCCTTATAGCTTTTTCTAACCTAGCTCTTGAAGTTCAAATAATAAATAATAATATTTTTAAAAACCTACTTGGCCCTGTTATTGCTGTGCAAGAAAGGAACTAATTAAACCATAGTAACTATATTTCTAAAAGATGGTGCCCTGTAACTGAGATGTTTAAATTAGTTACAACTCTATCAAAACAAACTGCTCTATCAAGCTCACTTGCAATGTCTCACCAGCATGGTAGAATGGTTCAAGTGATGGACTAGGATCTGGGAGACCCAAGACTGAATCCCCACTCTGCCATGGATGCTCACTGGGAAACCCTGGCCTAACCTACCTCGTGGTGTTGTTGTTGTGAGGGTAAAATGGAGGATGGGAGAATGATGCTGTAGGTTGCTTTGAATCCCATTGGGGAGGAAAGTGGGTTATAAATATCTAAATAAGTCTTCCACATATATATATTTTAATAACGTTTTAACAATGATAAACTGTTTGATCTAATGTGAAACAGTCAACAGAATGAAAACAAAATTGAACACATAAAGGCGCAATACATGTGACAGGAAAGCACAATGACATTTTCACCTTCTAGCTTTATTTCACATGAAGAAATAAATGAAATGTGACAAATCTGAAAACAAACAAACAAAAAGAGTGCCATTCTTAAACTTGTGGAAATCCATGGCTTCTCAGTTAACCAGGGGTGAAGTCCAATTCATGTTGGGCATTTAACAGAAAGCTAAAAGTAATGACACTATAAAACTGGCGGGTATATTTTTACTTGGAAAAAGCCAAATATAGAATATTTGAGATTTTAGGCCAATACATGTTTCCTGTTATGTTGTATCCATTAGTCCAGTGGTTTTCAAATTACCTTCCTTGAGGAAACCATTTCTACACTGAATTCTTTGTAACATGTAGGAACTCCTTAGTAAAGCATTCTGGAATATGTACTAGAAGGCAATATGCTTCCAAGTGACAGTTTGAACACCACTGATGTAGTTTATTCCATTCTGTTCCAATATTACTTTTGATAAAACAGGGAAGCAAAACAAGAAGGGGCATGTGTTTGTGTGTTATTGAATTAAAATCTGTAACGGCGTTTTCAGACGAGAGGTTTATACAGGTCTGCTTGTGGAAGACGTGCTTAAAATTATAGCACAATTTCTGGGTTACTTTTGTCTGATCTTACAGAAATCACCCCAAAACTGCTTTATGATCACATTCTTGGTATTTTCTCATGGTCTTCCTGGCTATGATAGGATACTGAGATTAACACAATGATTCACAAAGTTTTTCTGATTTTTTTACAGGAAAGATGACAAAATGGAAGTGAAGCAATGAAACTAAAACCAAAGATGGATCAAATAATAGAGATGGAAGCTGTAGAACTGAACTAGCCTGGTGGAGTAAGGGGCGGGAGCTGTTGGGACTAGGGATGGGCATGAATTTTGGTCAGTTCACAAACCAAAGCTCATAGCAGGTCAACTGGCATGAACTTTCCATAAACTTTCAAACAGTTTGGGAAGGTTTGTGAATGGATACATTTCCAGATAGACTGCCTCAGTTCAAACAAAATATTTACCAAACTTCAAAGCAACGGGGGGCAGAATTCTCCATCCTTGGAAATATTTTGCCAGTTTCAAACTAGCCTTTGCCAGTTTCAAACTAGCCTTGCCCATCTTCCTTTGTGTCCCCTTCCCATATTCTTGCACAAAGCCTGCAAAAAAACCAAACCCTTTGCTTGGCTTTGTTGTGACTGTGGTTTGAGAGCAGTCCTTTTAAGCTTGCAATGCCAGTGTCACTGGGTTCTGCTGGGCATTCTGCACATTGTAACTGGTTGTGCTGGGCTTGCAAAATACCCCCCTTGGATTTATTGTGACACTGTGCTTTAAGATCAGTCCTTTTAAGTTTGCAGTGCCACGGTGGCTCTGGGTTCTGCTAGCATTCTATACACTGAACTGGTTGTGCTGGGCTTGAAAAAATGTCCTCCTTCATTTTGTACTGCAAGGATTCTCTGGTTTGACATTAGTCCTCTTTTCCTTGCATTGCCACAGTGGCACTGGGTTCTGCTGGGCATTCTGGACACTAAACAGATGGTGCTGAACTTGCAACACCACCACCCCACTTGGATTGTGATTCTGTACTTCACATCAGTCCTGTTGAGCTGGCATTGCCACAATGGCACTGGATTCTGCTGGGCACTCTTTGATTTCACTGGTACTGCTGGGTACTCTGTATATTGTACTGGTTTTAGAAGGCTTGCAAAAATGCCCCCCCCCTCAGTTTCTACTGCAGAGATTCTCTGGCTTGACCTTAGACAGAGTTGAGTTTGCACTGCCACAGTGGCACTACTTCTGCTGGGCACATTACACCGGTTCTCCTGGGCTTTCAAAAATGCCCCCCCTTCAGTTTCTACTGCAGAGAATCTCTGGGACAGTAATTCTGTTCTCCTCGACTTCTGTTGCCCTTGCTTTTTTTGCTATCGTTTCCCTTCATTGGAAATAATGAAGGATGGGGGCACCTTCTTCAGGGGGAGAGCCTAACTCAGACCCTGTAAATCCAATCCCCACCAAACTTCGACGGCAGGTAAAAGAGAGTCAGTCAGAGATCCCCTGTGAGTTTAGTGTCTCTAGCACACTGGGGGGGAGGGCATTCTACCATGACACAAACCTCACAAACCAAACCAGTTCATTTCGCTCCTAAAAGTTTGTGACAGTTCATGGTTTGTGAACTGGGCACACTACAGATCACACTCATTTTCCTGGATCATGCACATCCTTAGTTGGGACACTGTAGACAATTCACATGACCTCTCATACCACTTGGTTGCACATGAGCCTCTGCAATATTTCAGATGCTTATCAACCCACATATACTGTATGCTGAGCATTAAGTCATCTTTTATGGATGTTTCTCACTCTGCTCATGATGGAGACAAGAAGTTCTGTTTGTTTCAGCAGTTCCAGTCTCCAGGATTCAGACATCAACTGTTGTTGGTTTTGATTAGTCCCAGATCACTTATAAGGCGGGGATGTGTGTGGGACTATCCATTCTAGTCAGCAGACTTTCCATACTTACTGTCCCAGAGCAGGCAAAAGGCACCTGCCTGGCAAACCAAGACCCAGCTCTGAATCTCCAACTGATGTTCACAAACTTTGATACTAGAGAGGATATAAAGGATATTTCTCACATGTACAGGCCAGTGATGAAGGTAAAGAAATCCACATTCTACTTTTCAACCTGCCTGTCTAGACCAGTTCTCTTCTGCTGCCAACAATTCCACGTCATCTTTGCTTATCCCATCAGATGTACATTCAGTGCCTCTTCTTACAATCATTTTATAGTGTCACAGGAAGATCCTACCTGTATTGGTTCTAGCCCGTGGCAAACTGTGTAAACCACTGTCCCACACAAGATGCACACAACTGGTTCGCCACGGGCTGGAAGCATCTTAGAGAAAACACAGGCTTGGCTGCTTACTGTAACCTCATAAATGGCTCTGAGAAGGGGCCGTAAGATAGCTGTGCTGTGCTGTGCTAAAAGAATGGCAAGGAAATTCATTCCAATCCTTCCTCAGATGAACAGACATTTGGGCAGCCAAGTGCTTTAGATTTCTTAGAATTTTTCAAATTCTTATCACTTATGTAAGATATTACTCATGTACTCCGTGTTAATGAAATAGGACTAAAAACTGTAACCTCTTAACAATCACTACATGTGCTTAGAATCCCTGCATCACACACAAGCACACATAAAAAAGTGGAGGGGGGCTTCTATCCTTTGTCTGTCCTACATGCAGGTATGACAACGTGATTACAGAGAATTACTTAGTAACTAATCTGAGCAAAGTTCTTGCTCTTTTGTAGGAATCCATTCCCCATTACCCTCCTTCTATGGTATCTGAACATTATTGCAGTCCCTTGTCTACAACGGAGAAAAAAAAAACCTCCTGGCAATGGGCGGAAGCTACAGCAGGAAAAGAGATTCAGTTCTGCCTTGAGTCTCTTAGTAAATTTTTTTCAGCTTTCTTCCTCCATCACTTGCAGGCAGTGAGAGAAGAAGCAGCCAGTTGCCATGGTATCTAGATTTTTGAATTTTTGTTCTGGGAAGGATGTTTTAGGCAGTTGATAGAAAACACTGTTTCTTTTGCTTGTAAAATGAGCCCATTTGATATGGGAAGTCACTGCAAGGCTCACAATGCAACTCTTCTGCCATTTCAGATTCTATGAGCAATCAGTTATGAAGTGACACTACTGTGGATGCCATGGCAACAACATACTCCTGTCCTGGGGGGAGGGAGACAAGAAGACAGAAATGGATCACTAATAATGTAACACCACTGCCACCTTCAGGTAGGATGGGAGAAATGCAGCCTAAATTCAGCCAACATCCACGCAACTGTGCTCGGCCTTTTCCCCTGCCACGTGATTTACAGCCTCTGGATCCTCCATAATGGACCAGGACCTCCTATTTGCCCATGTGCCTACGATCCAGCTTGCTCAGAACCTGAGTGATATCCACAAAGAGTGCTGCTTCCTTAATCCTCTCTTCTTCTTCCAGTTGCCTCAAGATGACTGGGCTGGGGCTAGAGCGGAGTTGTTTGCGACCAAATGGATTAGAGCTAAAGAGAAACAGAGGGAGGGGAAGAGAGAGAGAGAGAAAGAGAGGGTTACTGTGGATGGCAGTGAATAGTAAGTACATCTGAGGCCAGGCAGAGAAGCTTTGTGTTACAACACCTATTTACAAAAGTAATTGTCCTAAGATAACATCCTCTACATTCACTGATTTGTTTGAATAGCAGAGATGAAACAAGAGGGTGGATTAAACTGAAAGGGAGAAAACAGCTTTGGCTAAGGCTGGGACTTCTGACTTGCCTGTCTTTCAACTAGGAGGTGAAGTTGGTTCCTTATTCGCACTTCCTTATTCATTCCTTATTCGTGCAGTCATTCAGAAACACTAAGGAGAGTTAGAAAGCTCTGAACCCCAAAATAAGGTCTGGACCACCACATATCATACACCCCCACATTCACAGGACTCTCCCCTTCGAGGGGACATATGCTGTATCCTGCTCCAAAGCGAATAAGGAACCAACTTCAGCCTCCTCTTTCAACTTTGGATAAAGGCAATTCCAAATTTTACACAGCAAATATATTTGTTACCAATGTTCACCAATACGCCAGTATTACCTGCCTCAAATGGGACGTGTGGATGGGATGTGTGGATGGGACGTGTGGATGGGATACATGGGTATATATCTTTAAAATGTACATGAGTGTGTAGCATCTGAGTGGGGCAGGATCCCCAAGATGTGTTCAAATGGATGTTTACAGATGTGTGAATAAGTGTGTATGCTGTCCACACATTACATGTTGTTGCCGGGGGCAAACATCAGGGTACAGGCAATGTGTATATTTGCCATGAACAGTTTGGAGCTACTGTAAGTGCTCGGAACACCAAAAGCTTGAGGTTCTTAGCTCTGATGGAAGATGGTTAGTGATATATCTGATCTGAATATTAGCCAAAACAGCAAACATGGAGGTATGGTTGAAACATCCTGGAATTCCTTGACTGGGCAGAGAGAAACTAAACAATTGTGAGACAATCCCTGAATGTTGATTGCATAAAAATAACTTTGATTTCAGCCCTCTGGAATAAATGAGCCCCCTTTTCAAGGTATAATTACTAATTCTACAGAACTACACAGAACTCACAAGAATTAGTTGAGCAAACTCTGGAGGATGACGGAGGCCAGGAGGGCCTGGCATGATGTGGTCCATGGGGGTTGCAGAGTCAGACTCGACTGTGCAACTGAACAACAACAAAAGTATTTCTGGACCCTCAGCAAATCTTCTAATATTCTGGCACTGCTATTATTATTATTATGTATGCAATAGCCTGTATCCTGCCACTACAGTAAGGAAAGCCTGAAGCCTTTCTCCAATTTAAGCGGCTCTTCTTCCTCATACACAGCTGCTCCGTATTACCCTCCATACCTGCAAGCCTTTCCAACATGAAATTGAGAAGAACATTTTCATTTGCAGTGAGAACGTGGCCAGCTCCTTTGCTGGAGGCCGGTCTGTTCGGTACACAATGGCCAAGGGGCAGAAAGTATATTTTGTTGTACCAACTGATCCTTTTTTATGAGTGCACATGCTCCATAGCCATCTAGCAGTAAGGGCCTCCCAGTTATGGAGCAAGTGCATTCAGGCATAGCATTACATACAAATATATGTATTTGTATTTGTGTATGTGTGTGTGTGTATATATATGTGTGTGTGTGTGTGTGTATTCACAAATAAGACAGAGAGATCAATATTAAAAAGCAGAATACTGATTTCCTACAGTAAATATTTGATCGTAACTCAGTTACCATTTGTTTGAACTAAACACCTGCTGGCTCACAGAGTATCCAATAACTAGCTGCAATGGTTGTCTTTGAGCCTCCCATCCTCTTTGAACCAAACTCATGTTGATTTTTGATGCAGTCAATTTAGTACAAGTTTTAAAAATTTCATCATGTGCCAAATGTTTTTTCAAATGTACATGGTTAAAAACAACAACAAACCCTATTGCAGTAGATCTGCCCACACCATACACTGCTTGTTTTCCTTACGGTTATCAACAGTGGTGAAAACAAGTATTTAAGGGTATTGTATTTGAAGTACCTGCCTGCCTAGGCTTCCTTGTCAATGAAACCAGGGTGCTGCCTGAAGCACAAGGCTAAAAAAACCCCTCAGTTTTAAATAAACAGGATTGCATTTGCCAGGGCTGAAAGCTGTCCTGAGCTCCTTGAAGAAGGGCAAGATATAAATTTACTAGAGAGATGGATAGCTCGTTAACATTAACTTTTGACCATTCTAACTGATATCACCACAGACACAGTGCACATTTCTTTAGGGCCATGGTGCATTTTTGCATGCGAATCCATAGCTTTAACATGGCATTAGCAAAGGGGATGGGTGCAGTTTTGAAATGGGGAAGCCATAAAATGGGGATACTGAATCCTTACTCTCCCCACTGCTTTTCCTCCTGCTATATTTGTCTTCATCCTCAATGGTTGAGAAGTGCTGGAAGAAAATGTATCTTAAAATGCAGTAGCCACCCCCTTTGGCTAATTTTAGATGGCAGATGGGCAGCCAGGATTACCACAAATACATGACACAAGATGAATATGTATTAAATATCTGGACAGAAACTTTGTTTTCTTAAAATCGGAGTCGTTATCAAGGCTAACATGGGGTGTTCTACAGTTGCTTCCATAAAGTGCTTTAGCAGCAAATATGAGGCCAAAATTACAACAGAATAGCAGGCAGGTCTTAAATACTGGACCACCTTCAGCCACTCAGTCTTTGCAGAGGAGTGGTGCAGGAGTTGGAAGACCAGGATGTCTCTCTTACAAAGCTCACCTCAACCACAAACTCACTGGATCACCTTTGGGAAGCCTGTGCTCTCCGTCCTCCCCTAATCCCTCCCAAATGCAATAGGAACATAATAAAACACAGCCTAATTTACAGGATTGTTTGTGAGTGTGAAGCTCTTAGTGGGAAGTGCTAGATGAAGAAGACTAAGGGCGATTTCTCACTAGAGCTGCCTCGCAGCACAGCGCCGTTTGCCCCAACACAAACATGTCAATTTCACACCCGAGGCTGCGGGGCTGCATTTGACTTGGGGCTTCGCCCGATTTCCTCCGCAGTTTCGAAGCCCCGAGTCAAAATGCAGCCCCGGAGCTTCGGGTGTGAAATTGACATGTTTGTGTCGGGGCAAATGGTGCTGTGCTGCAAGGCAGCTCTAGTGAGAAATCGCCCTAAGTATTATTACTGCTCAGCCTTAGTTTCAAATTGGGCTACCCTAGGATGGTTTCTATGACAACTCAACCAATAAAGGTGTATGGTGCAGCTGTTTCTGTTCAGCTGAGCTTTACTTGAGGAATTTCTCTAGGAAAGGAGGAGATGTAAGGAGGCGGAGCAAGAATAAGCAGCAGTTGCAGCAAAGGGGTTCTCTACAGTGGTCAACACTGTTCTTTGCTGGAAGCAAGTCTCTGCAAGCCTGTCATGCCTGCCCTTGCTGATGCCCCTGAGGAGGCACCTGCCAGCCAGGAGCCTGTGGACTTACAGGCTCCTGAGGACAGTACTGCAGCAGAAAGGCAAAGACTGGATCCTGTAGCTGAAAGCTACCTAAGTGGTGAGGAGGATCAAGCCTCTCAGGGAACACCTGCAAGGGATCAGTCTCTGCTGCAGCCCAGTAGTTCATCAGACTCGCCCCCACCTGTAACCAGGCTCAGGAATGTAAGGAGACAGCAGCTGAGAGAGCGAAGGCAGAATGCACGCATGCGTGCCAGAAGATCTCTCAGCCCTGACTATTGACAGGATCCTGACCTTGCTCCCGGCTAGCTAATGAGTTGATTAGCTAGCACTGTATATAAGCAAGCCTGTTGCCAGCAGTCATTTGTGCTGGCAACTGTTGTTGTCAGGACCTGAATCCTTGCATCTCTGCTCCAGACCTTGTGGAACTCTTCTCGGCTTGATCCTCTGCTTTTGACCCTCGGCTTGATGGTTTCTATGACAACTCAACCAATAAAGGTGTATGGTGCAGCTGTTTCTGTTCAGCTGAGCTTTACTTGAGGAATTTCTCTAGGAAAGGAGGAGATGTAAGGAGGCGGAGCAAGAATAAGCAGCAGTTGCAGCAAAGGGGTTCTCTACAGTGGTCAACACTGTTCTTTGCTGGAAGCAAGTCTCTGCAAGCCTGCTCACTCCAAAAGGTACTCATCAGCTTCTGTGCCAGAGATCTTTTCAGTGGAAGGCCTACTTTTAATTAAGCAAACGTTTAAATCACAGTCCTTTTTCACTCAGGCCCTGGCACTTTGTTTTTAGTGCCCTTATTTAAACCAAAAGCAAATAACCCCCAATTAAACCCCAACCCACTTGCCTTTTTTTTGCTGATGGTTGCGGTTCAATTGCCTTGGACAATATTTCCTTGTATATTGGAGACTTCAAATAGCGACCATAAGAATCCTACTGGGGGAGAAGAAAAGAGAAAACTGGTAGTTACAGGCTTATAAAGAGCCTTTCCTTATAGTTGTTGTGGAGTCAAAGAGGCTGGGGCGGGAGGATCATCTCAGCCACTAGCACAAGAGAATATCTTTTTCTCTGTGTTCAATATGCCTTACATAAACCACAGGTTAAATGAATTCCCATGTGGTTAGAAATCACAACAAAACCAATGAAGTAATTTTGTCAGATGCTAAAGAGCACAAGAAGGTCTGGGAATGAGATTCTCATCCCAGGACAGGCTAAAGATGTCTTTTGCTCCTCTCCTCCATTTTTCAAATGCATTTTTAGAAACACACGGTTTATGTGGCAGCAAAGAAGTGGGAACTAACTCATTCATATTTCCATGGTGCACAAGCTGGATAAGAGTCATCAGGAGCTACTAATGTGCAAGCACCTATGCAATCTACCTTCCCCATTAGCAACCACTGTGGTTAGAATTGCATAGGAGGGAGGAATAAGGTGACTCTGGTTTTGGAAAGAGAATAATTGGGCTAGAAGGCTTTCTGGTGCCTTAAAGCTCAATGTTTCTATGGATCTGTGTCCCTGGGACTGCCACAGAATGAAAACCTGCATTGCCACCAGCTATAGTAGCCATAGCCCATAACTAATTAACTGGCTAATATCTTTAGGGGAAATGCTGGTTTTAAACTACGTGCTATGTCTAACTGCACCTAGTATCATCTGAACTGTTGTGTAGTGGGTTCGACGCATTGAACGATCAGGAAACAACGTGATTGTCAGCACATGTTTACTAGTATACAACATAACAACGACAAATACTGGCCAGGCGGCCAACTATATACAGTCTTCGTGGACCACCCACAGGTCCTATTGGAGGGTTTAAACTGCCCGCCAAGGTTCCTGTTGGTGACCACTTGAGGTTTCAGGATCCTAGTCCCTATTGTCTCTGAGAGCCGAGCTCTGGTATAAGCCGCTGGCGCCTAGTGGCGGTCAGCGGACATCACATGAACTTTGACTATGATAAGTTTCTTGGAAACACTTTAGGAGAGGTTGCAAATAACTCAGAAAGTGAAGCACCTGATAAATGTTGCATATATTTATATATTATATATATATAAATATAAATACCATCTATATACTAATAGCCAAGGCGCCCCCTGCGTGCGGATATCTAAAGCCGCACATTGGGGGCACCTAGGGGGAAAGAGATCTTCCTGCACATTTGGGGTAATCCCCAGATGTGCAGAAAAATCTGAAATCTATAAAAAACTATAGGGGGATACTTAAATCCCCAAAAAACTACAACTGCTTGCTCTGAGCATGTACAGGGAACTCACTCACTGAGGCACGGGAACAGCGTGAGGGAAGCCCCCATGCCACTAACCCTCCCAGCTGCTGCTCCAACTGCCACAGCAACAACCATCCCTGTGCAGAGAACGGACTTACCCTTGGAAACTGTGGCGGGTTGTGCGAGGAAGCTCCGGGGACTTCACCTCAACACTGCTCCCCCCACTCCATTTCTTCTGTCTGTTACCAGCCTCATTTGTTTGGAATTAGTGGCGAGGATGCCGAGCACAGCTGTCAGCCCGGTCGCCCTTTGCCCGTTCCATCTTTCCCCTGGTAAGGGGCCGCCAGCCAGCTCTGGTCTCCTCCCACCCTCTCAGCCCGCTCGGGTCCATCATCACCACCTTGCACAATGAGTCAAGGTCTTGACGCCACCCGCTCTGTGGCCTGGCTTGGCCCGGCTGGTTGGTTGGTCAGAGGACAGGGCCATGTGGCATCGTTCTGCAGGTTGGCCGCTGCCTCACCGGCAGTCTCCTCGATTCCTCCAAGGTTCCGTTGTGCTGGGTCAGTCTCCCACAGCCCGTGTGCCATTGGCCAGGTTGAAAGAGCCTCGTAGCAGGAAGCCTCCTGGCTTGGCCCGGCTGGTTGGTTGGTCGGAGGATCGGGCCACGTGGCATCGCTCTGCAGGTTGGCCGCTGCCTCACCAGCAGCCTCTTCGCTTTCCCCGAGGTTCCGTTGTGCTGGGTCAGTCTCCCACAGCCCGTGTGCCATTGGCCAGGTATGTGTTGAGGGAGCCTCGGAGCCAAGAGAAGGAAGGGGGGAAGGAAGTCTCAGCGAGCTCAGCCTGTCCAGAGCAGTTCTGGACAAACCACAGAGGGGGGGGGAGCCTTGGTGAGGCCGTCTGGAGCAGCTCCAAACAAGCCACGGAGGGGAGGGAAACAGTGGGTCTGGGCAGCTGCAGGGGAGCCTGGGGAGAAAGTGTGTCTGTGTGTCTGTCTGTCTGTCTGCAATATGAGATCTCCCCCTTCCCGCAAGTATCGCAGGCAGGCGCCACTTGTTCTTGTTATCTTCTGCTGCTGCTGTTGCTC